TATCTGCGATAACCACCCTGCATAGGTGAACACCTAAGTAACTAAGTTGCTCACTAGCGCGGTCGTTTTACACCTAGCACAATCCAATCGCACAGTAAACTCGTCCGAGGCTTTTCGTGCCCTATATAAGGTTCGCGGTTGACAAAGGAGACCAGCAAAATGTCGCATCCTGACCACAGTTGAGATTGTCGTCATCCACCCCACCAACCCCAATCTGTGTGCACAAAAGTAATTTGAGCGTACTATCAAGCTGTCCCGGCTAACCCTCGACCATACAACAGGCCATGGGCCAGATGAAAACTGATACAACACATGAGAACATAACCATTTCCGATCTTGAGTTAAGCCATGACTACAAACGTTTTCTTAATTTGTCACCAATACTCTCTATCATTTTTATGAAGAAAACATGAATGGTGTCAGAAAATTCCCAATGAATACATTCGGAGAACACAGTTTGGCAAACTGGCTCGTTTTCAGTGATTCATAATCATGCCATTACATCGCAAATATTACGATAAGTTGGAGGACGGAACCCATTAGACAAGTAGGAAGTGAAAAAAATAATGGTGATAAAATGAGGGAAGGTGGGGAGAAAGAAACAATTTTAATCCGGGCTTAAATTGAGACCCGGATATGTATTGTTTTTTCTAATGTTTTGTCAATTTTCATCTGGTCTATGGCCTGTTGTAGGGTGGAGGGAGGGCCAGGGCAGCTTCAGAGCACACATGTTGTTTCTGAGCACATAGGGGTGGTTGTGGAGCTGGACGCTGACAGCCTCAACTGGGGCTAGTGCACGACATTTTGTAGGTCTTGATTGCCGATCCCCAATCTTATACAGCGCACGGAAGGCCTCAGCCATGTTTACTGAGTGATCAGTTAGAGCAAGGTGTGAAACAACAGCGCTAGTGAGTGACTTAACTGCTCCAGTGTTTAACAGTGCAGGGTAGTGTTCCCGGATGAGTTCAGACAAACGCCTGGTCTTGCGGCCGATTTACGTTTTTCTACAGGAACAACGTATATCGGCCGCATGGACACAAGGACACATATAGCGTTGTTTATTGATCGTCCACCTCGGTGCGCAAATTCAACTGGTTGAGCCAGATCGCAGTGTTGATGTGAAGAGTAAGCAGTGGGCTGTCTGTCAGTGGTCGCTGTGAATAGTGACGTGTGATGGACTGATTGACTCATGGGCCCATGCGTCACGACGGTATTGCTGAGTAAGATATGCGGGCCTTGTCTTTGGTTAGTGTTAACAAACCACCCTGTCCATGGGTTGGAAGAATGTGGACTTCATCCTAGCTGATGACGTGTTTTCAAGGAGATTTCCGAATCCCTAATATACATAACGAAATTATAAGCACAGCACAATGCACATTTCCACAAGGGGTAAAGCCGTTTGAATACTTTTGTTTACGTGTGAGAGATCGACAGTCAGCCTTTACGAGAATTTGACTGAGAGATTGCGATTACATGTAAAAATTGTAAGGTTGTGTCGTTTTTATGAATACTTCGGTGACAAAGTTGTTTAATTTTGTTCGACTTCTTTCGAATCTCCGATCATATGCACGATTCTTCACACAAGAAAATCGATGTGATGATCATGAAAAACATCACAATGGTCAACAAGCAACGAATATAATGTCATTCTGTTCAGTGTAGTCTAACCCCGTAATTTGCCTGTGAAATATTTCTATTAAACCAGAACAGCTGTTGTATGGGGTTGTCGTCACTTGTATGGGTGACTCGCAGGTCACCGAACCCTGAGTCTCAAGCCAGAGAACGCAAGCTTGCTTCACTGCGTGCACTGTAGAACAAGGCTGTCAAACAATGATAATAATCCTTTATCATTGAGAGCGTCAATATGGTTTTAAAACGACCTAGTAATTGGGATAACAACCTTGCGCAGCAGTGAAGAAGGAATAAGTATATAGTTTCCCAAACGGAGTCATACTAATCGGAAGCTTTTCACCAGCAGTGTATTTCGAGAGAAACGTGAGAAACATGTAAAAAATATTACAGAGAATCACAAGTGAAGGAAACACGTAAATAGTGCGATAATTTTTGCTCATCGAGAATGAAAAGACGTCTGTCAGTAAGGTGAGTCGAACTTCCTTGGCCATCCTTGATGAATTATTACAATAATGGAAGTTAGGATACAGGATCCGAAACTGTGAAACACGTGGTGAGGTCAAAAATTAGTCCGCCTCACGTGACTGAAATCCCCTCGTGCTCACCAGGCCGCACTCGACTGGCATGCCTATTAGGTTACCTTCGTGCCCATCATTCAATCCGGTGTATTCATCGAGTTGTATTTGCGTTGCCTTCACCCCGAAAGTCTTATTACGTTGTTTCAATGTCTAGTGAATCGTGTTCTCCTTCTGACTGGGATAATCAGGTCAGTGCTATCCGCTAGAACAAAACACAAAATCTGAGTAACAGGATTTACACTTGCCATCCAGTTAGAACAGCCCCACAGAAATTACGGGGTTTACAGAACAATTCTCAGCTTTCATTGGAATAGTAAATAGAAGTGATACAATCCAGCCTCACGGAAGTGGATTGAAGATCGCACATGCCGTGCACGGATTATACGATTATCTGGATTTATCTTGAAAATTAGATAATTACCCATGCAAATTTAACACCAGATGACCACAGAAGATACCTTTCTGTACAGAGTACACATTACCGTAATTATGCTCGTGTATATGTATGAGGGAGGGCAAGAGCGACAGTTTCAGTATTTCGTTGCGTGATGAATCGAATTGGAAATGCTTCAAAAATCCGTATGAATAACAATGAAGAATTCGTGGAGGATAGTATTTGTTTTGATGAATCAATAGAAATCACCATACACTTATCTGCTTTAAAAATAGGGTCCCTGACAAGTTTGTTTGTTGATTGCCGACTCATTCGTTTTTTTTTATTGGCGTGCCATGATGCGTTTTTAGGATGACGGATACAATCTCTCATGTTCATTCGACCTTAAGGTACACCCGTAGCTCTGTTGTGATCAACTACTCCGAAAGTTTTAGCAGTTACCGATGCAATTCACGTGTTTTTACTTCCCTATCTGCGACACAACAAGATGGAGCCAGTTCCCTACAGTTCGTAAAAGACTTTGGAATGGATCAACAAAGTCTCGGGAACGGTTATTCCGTTGATTACCAATAGTTCCTGCTGGCTGATGCCCTGATCAGCCAATCAGTGAAAGGAACATTTTGCAGCATGCAATGTGTATACTGTATACAGGGATAACAGAGATAGGTAAACACTTGTGGGACAGATTTATTCAAATATGTTTACTGTTGTGTCTTGAGGACATACTTCAGACTACCAAGTTATACATTTTTAATTTGTATGCTTTTACCCTCTCAAAGCATCATGCAGTTCGTTTCTTTCATTGCCCAAAACAAGATGTTCGTATTACTGAAGTAGTTCTAGGAAAGCATCAGTGCACGTATACTAGATATATAACACATACTTAAAATATTGTTCAGTTTAAGAACATCCCGGTATCTGTAATCATCAATTGTATCATTGACCATTTAGCCGTACAATTCACCGAAATGAGTACCGATTGTCGCATACCCTCTTAAATTCACCGCAGCTTTTTAAATAGCGAGCTGTTGGACCGCGGAACCCTACTTAAAATTAGCCCTCATTTTAAATCGTGTGCAGTTGAACCGCGAAAAGCTGCCATGAACTGACAGATGGATTCGAGTGTACCAGTTCCATATTTGTCCCCATCCCACTTAAATCTACTGTAGGATTCTACTCCACCAATGAGCACAGTCCCACTACGAATTCATCCAAAAATACACGTTTTGCGAATCCCCGCTTGAGGCTACACTCTCTGCTCCGTTCAACGAAGGCTCTGCAGGTGTTGAAGTCAGTTCCAAGATAGTAGGAAAGAACTGTAGAATCAATACCTTCCCTTGAACACTGGACAATTCTTCTTCGTTTTCATCATTGACTAATTTTTGCTTCCCATGGGAATTTGCATTCACCTGTTTGCTTACTTCGACTATCTCAATTCCCTCCTGGGAATTCTATGGTTGAGTAAGTACTAATTAAGCTGGTGACTTGAAATGTGATGGAAATTTATTCTGCACCGACAAAACAGTCATTTGTGTGACTCACACGAGGATGTCAAGCCCCTTTACTGGGTTCAAATGCTCAGAAGTGAAGTGATGTTGCGCATTATAGATGTGTCGGAAAGGTTCCGTCACTGTATCCTGGCCTGTGGTTTCCAAATAACTGACGTATAATGTTATTCATCATCAAATGCTCCCATGAATTTCAATGAACAGCTGAGCGTTCATATCAAAAATAAAATCTATTTTATATTTTAGTTTTGGTTGAACGAGTGAAAACATCTGCACATAATGCTTCTCAGTAAGAGTTGGAAGAGTCAAACAAGAAGAAATAATTTTTCATACAGATGGTCATCACAGCAGCACAGCTAATAACCGAAACACATCCCAAACGCCTCAGAAGTTCCGGAAATGTCAATTCCCTTTTTTATCGTGTAAAACAGTTAGTCATACAAAGTATCTGGCAACTAGGGTTTTTGAATGCTTCTCAGCATTAATTTTATAATGTTCTTGCCAGGTCTCTTCCTATTGGTTTTCAAACTGATTCCCACTGTCCGTTCTTCCCGTTGCACTTGTAATAAGGGATTCGCCAATTCCTATTGTACAGTCTTTCCAGCAACATTTCAGGATGGTTTGGACACGGGACTTCCAAACCCATCATATGACAACGATTTAGTGGCAATAGTGACGACATCTCATGAACAGTTTTCCCCTCCTCTTCCTCAATCGTGTATCCAAAATTGACTGGAAACCCTCCAAAGTTTGTGTGTAGTTCAATATTGATTGGAAATAGATCAATATAGTTTCCATAATCCATGAAAAGCCGAGCCAATGAACCGCAGAATGAACACGTATCTCGCATTGATTGAACCTTTGCACCTTGGCAATCCATGCGCTCACCAGGATTGACAGCAAGAACCGGACAGTAAGAACCTGGTCGCGTAACCAAATTCAACTAGCAGGAGTGGAACGATTAGTAGATTCGTTTTGTTTACCAGAGATAAGTAAATGCGTTAGCGGAATCGTATTTTTATCGGTTTTACTCTCAACGATAATGTTACTGTAAATTTTCTAATAAAACCTTGTTTTGTTCGGCCTAAGCAGCCACTTGGGCAGACATACAAAGTCTCGCACGCTAATTTATATGCTACGGACAATCGATCCATATTCATCATGCACTCACAAACGTGCACACACACACATAGAATTGATGCCAGCCATGCTCCATCCAGAACTGCATCGCCCAATCAAATCTTGCCACTCGTCGAACGGCTTTGTGTGGCCCGATCCGGGTGCACGTCTCGCTTGCACCAATACAAAGCATAAGAGGTACGACCAATCAAACTGCGCAAACTGCTATCTGTCCCGTAGTTCAAGCGCTCGAAAGCCATGGGTTAAGTACCATTGTCGATCCGTTAACAGTTTGTGAAATCAATGCAAAGAAATGATTGTTGTCATTTTTCACCAGGAAAACAAAATCTAAACCTACTCGATTGGCCGTTTACATGTGAATGTGGCAGCAATCACGCTGTGAAACCTAAGAAGAGCGTGTCATAGCAATGGATTATTTGTGCGTGTGGATATGCACACCTTTTAGTTTGGAGAATATTATCCGCCTCTCCCTTTGTCCTAAGCTACTCCTATGTGATATTGTAACGAAAGATCTGTTATCGCCATTTCCTACGTCTACTGTCTTCAGTGACACTGCACTGATTGAACAATGTGAGTGACAGGTAACCTAACTGACACTAATGCACTGCTCTTAAACAGAGGCGCGCAGCATTTTTAACTGCGAAACAAGGCTTGTTGCCATAGTGTTTGTTTCGTGAACTCCGGTAAACACCGTAGATCTACCGAATACATCCCGAAATACTTGTCAGACTAGACAAGAGAGCAAAATCTTGGAAGCTAAACTGCATCACTTCGGAAATTCTCGGCCATCAGGGTACACCTGATTAGAAGGGATCTCGAATCGAACCGCAAAAACGCGTTCATCATCGTTGTTACAAGAGCGAATCATGCAGGCCGAAACCACTGCTGACTGCCTAAACCAGATCCCCTTTATGTCCAGAAGCAAATTATTTTCACCCTCACCCTATCACCCAAAAACAGATACACCTAATGCATCAACCTCAGGTATCATAAGATTAACTTCGATCAATAAATTTTTCTATGTTCTGTTTTCCCTGGTGCTACACAAACGAGAAGTACTAGAGCAGACCCTAGATGATGAAAATTATCCCCATCAAGGAAAAAATACAGCACGTACTTACCGTTATTTGATAGTTTATCCTTTAGTGACTATTGCCTTGCCTCCAGAATAACAAGTGGATTTGCACAGCACGGGAGCTCGGTTCAGTTCATTTGGAATGAACATTAACTATGCAGTTGGCGAAGCCGTTAACTTTACTACACCTCTGCCAATACACCACTAAAATATGCCTTTTATTTCATCATCGCAGTGCCAAAATACTGATTATGAGACCGTTCATGCTTACACCACAAAGTGAACAGAATATACACTCAGTAAGTAATTCGGTTTCGTTAACTAGAGCAAGGCCACTCACAACGAAAACCTACCTGTCCAACAGTGATATTTTTGCGGGCAGTGGCCAACTGACGAATTTTCTGCTCATCCGACCCAAGAACAAACAAGTCCATGTCGGTATCATAGGGAATTATGTTTCCATCCCTGCCGGAATCATTTTTTGAAACATGCAATAAAGTATGAATCACGATGTTGAAAAGTGAAGTGAAAATCGTAAACACCAAGACTAGGGGGACGGGAAACACCGGAATCCAATCAGGCTGTACGAAATAAACTGGCAAGCCGTGTATTTTAGACTCCTTATTGATTCATTTAAGCTGTGTGCGCGTGTAAAGAAGAACCACTATACTTAAAAAGAATTTTTGAATAAATATCCTGCCCAATATAGTCAAATTTGGTGTAGAAATGAAGTATGTTTATGAACGAATCTTACAGATAAATCTATGGAGTCGTTCGATAGGTACTGATATTCAAGGCAAGCGGCACAAAAATTGCATGGTAGAAGATGAAAGTGGCATTGTTGAGAGAGAAAAAGCACAATCATTATGTTGTTTGATAGTTGAAATCGGACTGTAACGAACCATATTTTAGGCCACAAAACTTTCATTATTTTGGCATAACGGTGAAATAAGCTGAAAGGCAAATCATGAGTTTTAACCACAAGTCCAATAGGCGTCAAGCCTTTGTGGCACTGGAATATTTGGAACGAAAATCGGCAGAAAATTGGAGGGATAGGGGCATGTGATTCATTTTTCTCGTGTAAAAGACAATTTTTGACAAATAATACGAGGTTCATACCATCCAGTGTGGCTATCAAGCAAAAAATATGTTTGGTTGCAGTGACTGGGTCCGGACAAAATAAGGAAAAATGCGGCAAGATTTGTGCTTTTTTATTAACACATATCGGTCAAATTCTTAAACCAACATGGAAATTGAACACAGTTTTGCAGGCAAGCTGTTGTTCCCAATGATTCCTTCTCTGTCCTGCATGAATCAAATTGGATAAGGGTGAACTGTGATTGTCACGACCCGGTCGTGCAAACCAGCGCGATGATCTAATCCTAACCTCGATCCCCACCCCACCCTAAACAGCCTTTCTTCTAGTTTGAATGATCCTTCACACGTTCGACGCCCCCATTTCCAGTATTGTTTATACAAGCTACAGGATGAGTCGTTGAAAGCAATTGTTTGTCTCCAAAAGCGTGTTCTGAATTCTCCACTAAGACGTGAGATTCAAGCTGGAAATGAAATACACTAAATGGCCTGAAACTGTTAGATTTATTCCCCTCACTTTGCCCGGGTGAGTCTGTAAAACGATCACCTCCATCTCGGAGTATTGGGGATAGGTTATCCAGCACAATATCACATTTTTATGTAAATGCGACATGAGAATAACTTTATTCGGCACTTCTCAAACAGAGGCTTTAAGACAAACAACACAAACACAATTTAAGATGGGCTTAAAAAATTGAAGAAAGCCTGCCCTTGGAACAGATATCTTGAATGTCTCATCGGAAAAAACATTGCACATATCCGTATCAAACCTGGCAGCAAGTCGTTAAACAGAACGTCATCTATCTATTTTTTCTTTTTAGAGGAGATACCATAGCAGACACGGTTAACAGGTGACTTCATACCACAGTCAGGTTATCGTAATCCGCTACTGAACTCGACGTCCTTTCCACCTCGCGATCGCTTCTCATTGAGATTTCCGTTTACGAAATACTATCAAACCCATCGTGTTTTTACGCATCCTTTAGATCCTTGTCACTTACGGTGACCATATTTGTCTCATTCATTTGTCAACGCACTACTAGGTCAAGTTCAGTCAATAAAAGCTTTTAGATATGCACACGGATTTCAAGAAAGACTCCGGTAAGTCGATTATTACCGGCTGATGTGCCTCGGATGGTGCGAAATGATATTAAACCCACTACTGGATGAGTGAAGAAAAGAGTGTACTGGGCTCCAAATGCAATAATCCTTGTTCTTAAAGGCTCGTGTGTTACTGAACAGTGATCTAGTCATGAGTGGTTCGTGAACGAAGATCGCACATGTTACACATTCTTGTATGAAGCAACAATCAATTACTTATCCTAACAGAAGTATTACAGCAGACCTTCGTATTGCCGAACAAGAACAAGGAATATTACATGCATACAAAACTGGGGGGATAAACATACGCCTGATTTCCATGGAAATTTTCAGACTGATGATATTTGTTTGCAACTTTCTGAAGGATTGAGATCATTATATACATGTAGAATTCGAAGAATAATCTCCAAGATGGTTATGAGATGATTCTTGCGTAACACGGCCAAAAAACTCACAAGTGCGTTGAAGCTGCAAAGGTCTCTGCAGCTGAATTTAAGTATTCAGCATGTACAACAACTCAGTTCGCACAATATATAAAAGGGGATAAAAACGATATGAGTGATTGTCATGTTCAGGATCAAGGGGAATTGGCCAAAAGCCACATCAATTGGAACACTGAAAGGAAAGCTGTGATATTGGTCGATGATAGGAAGTTGAGTTTCGACAGCTCTGATTGAATCATACTCTACTGACCTGAATTAGGGAGGAGTGATGTGGAATGGTGAACTGGCCAACTGATAGAGAGGATGGCCATCAAAAATTTAGACTTAATCGCTTTCGGTGAAAAACAACTGCCTGGTGAGAACAAGCGAGACGGAATAGACTAAGTAAATTAAGTAAATCTATCCCGAAAAAGAAAGCCGAATAATGGAGATAGACTCTTACAGTTAGTTTCATGTAAATGACCGTAGTCCTCGGCTTTGAATGCTACGAGCATTGCACGACTGCACTGGTATATTCGACTGAATCGTTATCAGAGGGAACTGATCCGGAGGTATTGGGACTTTTGCTCTACCAGCCCTGATTCTGGATGGACTGCAGCGTGAAAACGACAGCCGCATCCACCAATCCAGGTAATTAAAAGATGCGAGTTATTTGCGACCACTGGAATTTTTGTTTTCATACTAACCTTCTCAGCAGATTGATTCTCGCAGAAATTGCCCATTCCAGCTCCATTTTTTACATTCACCCTCGGGCTATGTATTTGTTTTTGCTGTATTGTTCAGTGTTTTGTTGTCATACAGTTCGTTTGTTTTCGATGCGCTAGTTTACAAGCAAACCATCACCACTCACCTCACCGTCTACGTGGTAATTGTTTGTCCACTCGCATTGCATCACATAATTTTAGCTCTGTTTCTATGACAAATGTTGACTGAAGTTCGTTTATCTCACCTGTTCGTACAGAACTCTTAATAGATTCTATTACTTATGTAACCTTTCTCCTCCTTTATGCGCTGACCCACAGGTATGCTCGACCCGTTCTGCTATTATGTCATGATTGTCTGGGTTACCTGACGTAATTATCGCTTTCTCTCTCAGCCTCCTTTGTGTGAATGACTGAACTCTGGCCATCCCACCAAGATCACGCCACTACACAGAGGGCTTCACACTTTCTTTCATCGGCTGCTTTTTAAATAGTGTTCGATTAGTTATATCATTTATTATCACATTTTATCAGTAATTATTCATCTATGAAAACTGTTATTCGTACCTCATATAAAAATGTTTATTTCCTAAATTTGTATTCAACATCTCATAGGTTGTTATCCAAATGTCAACTTTGTTTAGTGTCCAGTTGGATGTTCCACGTTTAAGCTAAGTAAACGTGTTGATAATTTCAACACGAATAACCTCTTCAATTTGTCCTAGTCACCGACTTTATTTGCTGAAGTTCGTCACCATGTATTGTGTTGCCCATGTCAACACGAACAACACACGAAAAGCTTGTTTTGAACTTGTGTTTGTTTTTTACGGATGAGTTACGAGGTTTTTCATTAGGACGAATGAACAATACAGCGAATCTAGTGGGAAGTACTCGGAATGGTACAAAATGATTAAAAATCAATACTGGGATCACGAAACCAGGTACAATCTTTACAAATTATTTTCATAACAATTGATCTCTCTGTATTATTCGATTTTGTGTGTGCTATGCGAGTGACATGGTCAAGATGTTCACCAATACTACCAAGTGTAAATTGTTTCATTTAGCTAAATTTTACCCACAATATATCCGTCAGTATCAGCGAGGTTTTTCCATTTATCATTTCGATTGCCCCATAGACAACCGCCGTCTGATGTACTTGCATGCTGACTGATATTATCATACACTGCTCGCCAAGAAAGCCGCCTCGCCAAAATAAACTATAATCTTAAGGCGTCATGCCATCACTTGGGCATAGTTCGAAAGAACCCAACACAGCTGTGATTTGACGTGATACAGTCTACCTGTGCATGATCGACAATCACGAGTTTTGTTGTGAAGGTCAGATACACACTTACGAATATGTAACTTGCTGTTTAATAACCCACACGTTCATCTGCTATTTTGAGCTCACCTGATGCCCAAAAATGAGGAGGGCGTGTGACGTGCAGTCGGAAAATGGGAATCAGGAAAGTCACACCACAAGACTACCAAATGTTTTAGTCCATTAGTAAAGACAGTGAGTAGATAGATCGATCGGTTCAGAAATACGGATGACTGTAAAGACAGCAATGGAGGCCACGTAACGACAATGCTAGGAATCTCGGGAGTTTAACTGGAGATCTCATGTCTGATCGGTCCCGTTCAGTATCTGTGGTCGGTAACCTATCACACAGTTCAGCTTCCGTCCGCACTGCCTATCGTCGACTCAACGAACATGGATTTCGATCAGGGAACCGCATTCCTTCATTGATTTAAAATCACTGAAAGTTGCATCCAGAGTGAGCACTTATTGGATGCCTTTGGAGGGACGGACAATGAATTTCGATTATTTGGACGAATAGATGAGTATTTTTGTAATTCAAGCATGATCGTCGAAGGCTTGTTTGGAAACTTTTGTGAAACTGATAAAAGTGATATGACATTAGTAACAGTGCAGTGCAATGGAGGTTCAATGCAAGTTTGGTATTTCTGGACGGCATCGTCAATTGTCAGGTTTATTTGGAAGTCCTGATCAAATACAATTTGTCACTGCTGAGCACAACTATCAAGGCTACTTTCCAGAATGACAACGAGTCCGCACGTCGTTCCCCTGTCGTACGCCAGTTTCACGTGCATTAAGAACCATCTTGAGGTCATCACGTGGTCATCTCGATCACCCGACCTCGATCCAGTTGAACAGTTTTGGGATCATCTCGGGAGGGAAGTAGATCAGAAGAGCCAATAGAAATCTCTAAGATAATGAAAGACCGTTTTGAAAGAGAAACGAAACCATATGTCACAATTTACTATCAGACGGCTGAAAGCGACCATGGCCCGAAGGGGAAGTGCTACTAAGCCATCCAAAGTTGGTTCAATCATACATCAATGAGCTACCGTTTGTGAACCATCGCACTATTCCATTAATAACAAAATATTTCGAATTCAGTAAAGGGTTTCAGAGTTTTACAATGGTTTGATGATTTTGGAGAGGAAGGGCATACATTTTAGCCATCGGCTCGCTTTTGTATATCGCTTATCTAATGCCCACGAACAGTAGTTGCACGAAAATCCGGATAGGTTTAAATCTCGTGGAGAATTTCTCACCTGATCTTCACCCTTCGACAAATTACAGAACATAGGTACACTTTAGGCAGATCAACCATTTCCGTTTTTCTTGATCTAGAAGAAACCTTCGACTCAGCCGTCCACACAGTCTCTGTCACTGCGTCTTCCTGAATGGTGTTCAATAGCAATCCACCTCAGTCATAAAGCTTCCGTTTAAGAATAGCCAGAGCCGCGTTCTGCCTTTCAGTGATCATTTACATGAGTAAATCACTGAAGTGATTGTACCACAAGGTTATTCCTTCTTCTTTTCTACTCAAATTTGCAACTTTTGTGGTCCTAGAGATTGCCTTTCTCGTGTGAGAGAATTACGGTATTGAACTCATCCGGGTAGAACATTTTCAGTCCTTGAGATGGCGGGCTATACCGTCTTTCCAATCATCGATCCAGGATATTTGCAAGCCTATCTGAGCAGCATGAACAACTGTGCAGTAATGTTCGGTATGCGTTTTATAACTACAAAGTGCAAAATGCTGCTGCATGACTGGACTGGTCAAAGTTTAACACTCACGGTGTCAAGGAGGACACTCACCAAGTAGATATGTATTATTATCTAGACAGCTGCATTTCACCAGGCCGTCGGATATCGGATGAAATGTCTTCACGTATGCTGAGAGAACGTTTGGCATTTAGCAACCTCAGTCACCCGTGGTATCGATGCCACATCCGAATATTTGCCACGGGTCAAGTGTACGCTGCAACAGTCAGACTAATTTTTTTGCATGTTTCAGAATCGTGGCCACTGAGTGTGAGGGATACATGAAGATTTTCGGTAGTCGAACACAGATTCCTCTATCTAACATTTAACAAAACAACAGAGTGTAGACTCAGTGATCTGTTAATACATTTCTGAACATTTCATCACGTTCTACTCACGTACCCATGCATAGCTGTGTCAACAAAAAATTGTCGTCACACTAGACAGTTTAAAGTTTGCAACACAATCACTTAATACGAAAAAAATTATACAAACTGGATTCAGCTTTGTCTGTGAGATAATGTAGGTCACACATGGCATAAGAAAAAGCAGTAACTCTAGATTGCAACATAGTGGTTGAAACTCATACTCACCGCATCGATCCAATAAGGCTTCCGAATGCTAACGACCACCATATTCGATGTTTTGCAGCAAATGGAATCCAACGCTGAAGTGCGTCGTGCAGCAGATTTCGACGCCCTTCACTGGTCTTAGAGCATTCACGCAACTCAGTAGAGTTAAGATTGGACATCGGTTGCCAGTACATTCCACTCAAATTATACACGGGGTTGTTCTCCTTGAATGTCTGTTTCAGTGCAAGCTGACTGGATAATTTTTCCGGGAATGAACCCAAGGAGATTGGATCACATCCATCCGTTGAGGAAGAAACTAAATCAATTTTACAACGAAGCAGCTGTTCCTCCATCCGGCCAGAATTGAACTCACTCTGGGGGTCCGATGTATTTGCATTTGTATTTGAGTCGGTCAGATTTTTAATGAGTAAATCCAGAAGCCATTTTAGCTGTGTACCATTCCAACCATGTTTCTTACGTAAAGGTTCAAACAAATCAAAGTGCCACACTATTTCACCGTTTTCACCAATTTCTGGTTCTGGATACAAAAGATATATGTCCGATTGAAGGAGTTCGACATTTTTAGAACTGTTTTGTTTGCGTGTGGTCACTTGACGAAATTGGCCAAAGTTTTTCGGGACAGATAAAACAGGTTTGACAAATTGCAGATTATAGACAACGAAGATCAAGCTGAGACATCCAAAAACTAACAGGTAAATGTACCGATATGTCAACCTGTTTTTTGTCCCGTTGGAAAGCATTGCATAAATTATCGTACAGCGTGACTAGAGACAAGCATACAGACGTGAAAAACCGACTATGAAAATGTGAATTCAGCCACTCAACACTAGCTGTTTTCTCCGATCAAGTTGCCTCACTCATATGGTGCACAGCAAACTCGGTCAACGTTGCCTGCTCAATCAACCAATCAAGAAGGGCTAGATGGTTAGAGCTCAAACGCACAAACACGCCCCCGATGATTGGTTGATGGTGGACCAATGATTTTCAACCAAAAGGTGTATACTACGGCGCTTGATCTCGACTAATCAACCACGTGACCGAATCTTTGACAGCTCAAAATGCAGTGTAAAGATAACCGGAACTAATCTCGCTTTATGCTCTGAGGAAAATGTGAACAGCAGAGGCTAACACGGAGATACCTCGGATGTAAAGAAAAAAGCAACTAGACACTAACAGTGACTGATATATCAAGATTGGTAAAACTTGAATTCACAAAACAGTCCAAAGTCACCTTAGTAAGATGCAGTAGCCAATGGTAGGGATTATTCGTGCAGGTAAAAAGAATGAATCGAAACAAACTTCTCAAGGAACGTTGCAGTCGGATACTGAAAATTAATTTATATCATTGCAAAACAAATGGACACAATAATAGCTGAGTTGAGGTTATTTTGTTATACTGGAGTTTAAATACATTATTTTATTAGCACTTACTATTCTGAATTTATTTTCCGACGATGCTTTGTTCAATAATAAGAAAAAGTATATAGAATCATCCATTCCAGTAACAAAAATCACCGCGTTAACCCAAGGTACCACTAGACAAAATGAACTACCTCTGACTAGACTGATAGTTGTGCATTGGCATCAACCCGAATTACAAAGCAAACCTTCAGTAATTAAGCCTTCTAGACAGGACAACCGTTGTTTCACTCAAGTATCTGTTATCACACTGTGGTGTGCAAAGTTAGACGTGTTGCTGAGTCGCGCCTCAAGGTGCAAACTCGCGTTCAGTACACGTTCCATTCGCAGGTGTGAGAGGTCGATCTGATCACACACAGATATGTGCATGCAATCTGTAATTAAAGCAAACATAATTGCTGTCCATCGAAGATAATTTTCGCTTTTGACAAAACAAGACATGGTATACTCTACCACAGTAGTAGTAGTTGTAGTGATAGTAGTAGTAGTAGTAGTAGCAGCAGTAGTAGTAGTAGTAGTAGTAGTATTGATAGTAGTAGTAGTAGAAGTAGTAGTAGTAGTAGTAGTAGTAGTAGTAGTATTGATAGTAGTAGTAGTAGTAAAAGTAGTAGTAGTAGTAGTATTGATAGTAGTAGTAGTAGTAGTAGTAGTAGTAGTAGTAGTAGTAGTAGTAATAGCATTTCCACTGAATCCAGTTAGTTCCATTGGGAGTGACTAATACCACTTCATATTCATATTTGATATTTAGATACCGCATCATCCACCATATAAAAGTTCCGTTTCTCCGTGGACTTGATTTTGCTGAGTGCTGTTATCTCCGAGCTTGGAGGTCATTCTATCCGTTTTAACCTGCGTGAGTAACTGGCTATTTCACCTTTGAGCATTTCTTCTATCATTGGACGATTTAGACCAGTCGATTCACAGTTACCCTTGGTTGGATACTCAAGGTGTCCCCAAATGGGATCTTTTGTGAAACCCCTCTTTTTGTTTTGCATTCGTGAGTTTGGACCTCTTCGGTTTAACTCTTTCTCTTTGTTTTGAGTTGTCACTTTGTGGGTGTCTCTTCTAACATTCAGCTGCTGACGATGAAATTAAATAGTAAGGGCAATTTTGATTATGAATCACCAGCTGCTGTGGCTGTTACACCACCCTCCGATAAGTCTCCGAATTCCTTTTTGCCTTGATGTGCCAGATATTCACCAAAGTCGGAAAGAGCCCAATTAGGGATGGAAGCCGTTGAAGCTATGCGTATGGCAGCTGAAGTCACACGAAGGGGAGCTGTGGCGCCCGAACGGTATGGACTTAAGAATACTGCGGGGCAGTCGTCACTCCGGAAAACGATAAGTGGTGACTTCCATACTAAATTATCTGTCATGGGTACGAACACTCCAGTGGCTGGTGCGAGCCGCCGCCACAGCCTTCATTATGATGAGAAGTCTGCCCCTTTGAATGAGATAGATGGGCTAAACCAGCTTCTGGTAAGGTTCCAATTGTCTAAATATGAACTTCTGAAGTTTATTGGTTGGCCATTACAGCATGTTCTGTTCTTCAACAATATGAGAGCCAGGTTGAGAGAAGGGTTAGGGAAGACGGTCGGCTTTTGAATTATTTGTTTCAATATTGTGAAAGGAAAGCGAACGAGGCCATTCAAGGTAGTTTGCTTTATCCCGTTGTTGAAGGTTATCAGCTAGCTGGAGGAATATTGTAAGAATGTTTTGGACAGCGGTCATGATATCTAGCAAGGAAACCTTGTCCAAGTGGGACCATTTGAGGGGAATAGAATTTTCAGCTATTTCAGGTTTAGGTGACTCTTCGGCTCACTGGGTTTTAGAACGGTGAAGAGATTCTAAAGGAGACCCTTATGTTGACCACACCCCTTCAGACTGAGTCATGTGAGATCCGTTGGATAATAGTCGATCGGGTAAGATTAGAACATGTGCCGTACACAGTCTGCAGATGTTGGAAATAACCTCTGAAAGGTTTCTGATGGAGATTTTGATGGCAGTGATCAGCTAGAAACCTCCCTGCCTGCGGAAGATGAAAAACCATCAAAATAGTGGAGACGTTTTACCGCTCGAGAAAGGAAATCTTAGTGTTTCTTTTCCATGGAAGGACAATAATTGAGTGCAACTTTGTAATCAAACGGTCACTCTTTATCGTTTGGGGTTGTTTGGAAATAGCCTTCTCAAGGATCCAGAATTTAAGTTTGAATATGCGTCTGTAATTGAGCGCTACGTTGAACGACAATGTGCCGCGTAGGGATCAGTAGAGCTCATGGCATGTAGGCGTGTAGAATGGTATTTACCACACCACTCGGTGTTCAATCCTTAAAACACTCGAACAGCTTGAGGTTGTCTTTCACTGTGCTACAGTATTTCAGGAGGAATCACTGAATGCACACTACATTTGAGTCCCTAATTTAGTCCTGAGTTTGGTAGTTGTATTTCTTCAGTTTTGTCAGAAGTCTGTGGCTCCGTTTTCCCATACTGAAGATATATTCCTAATGGTGGAATTATCTGAGGAAGACCAAGATACCCTTAAGTTTCTCTGATAATTCGAGGATGATGCTGTGAATCAGAAGGAGTTTTAAATGATAGTGCGTCCTTCTGGGGTGGTTTCGTGACCACTTTGTGCGAGTTTTGCCCTAAACGAAGCAACTGATTTGTTTGGTCACCAATTCTTGTCGGCTGTATCACAGGTGTTTTTCAAAGGCTTTGAAGTCCACGATTGTTTAATTTCTGCCAACAATGCCGCAAAAGCACTGTGCTGGTGAATGGACTGCGTCTTCTATCAGGTCTTGGTGGATCTATGTTATCCGAGTGGCTGAGTAACGAGTGAGAGGTTTGAAACGCCATTTCAGTTGATCAAAGGAACAATACTATAAAAAATATCGATGCAGACCGATAGCCAACCGTGAGAACATTGGATTTGGTTTGGAATGTTGATCTGGAATCCTCTGAATACCATGATCACATCGAGGATCGGCCGACAACACGAACAGAACTGTTGACACAAATGGCCACAATCTATTACACTCTAGGATGAGTTGGCCTGTTTATTTTATCCATGAAATAATTGTTCCAAGGTTTGTGCCCAAGGAAAGTTGGTTGGGATCGACCACTGGGAGTGGATACTGAAGCGAAGTGGGAAGAGATAATGGGGATTGTGAAGGGGACGAGATCGGTACAAGTGCCACGATGGTATGCACATAATGTTTTGAAAGCACATGTCGACCATGAATAACATTTATTTCGTGATACGTCTGAAGTTATTTACGGAGCAGTGTCCTACCTTAAGTTTGTATCCAACATATCGAAAACTAGATGCGTACTTGAGCTTTCTATGTCGTGTTTGGCACCTCTGAAGGCGGTCTCCCTTCCAACATTAGAGTTGATTGCTGCTGTGGCCGCCGTTCAGGTAACGGAAATGTACGAGAAAGAAATGGATCAGATATTACCTAGCATTTATTTTTGGACTGATTCCGTCGTAGTTCTTTATGACGAGAAGAGCGATAAAGGATGTCTTGCTAGGTTGGTTGCGAATAGAATGTCCAAGATACGTGCTTGATTGATGAGATACTATGAGC